CCTCAGGATGAATATGCGAGTCCATCTTCATGACAATTCTGCAGCTGGGGCATATGCCAACTTCCTTCTGGAAATTGGGGACGGCAAAATTCCAGTGGATCCAACGGATGGCCAAATTAGAATCCCCCAAGGTTGTGGGACCGTTGTACAAGATATAGCAGAGCTCAAAACTAAAGTCTTCCCAAACCTCAGCCATAAATACACAAATCATAAGTGGTTGTGTGAACAAAGAATCCTTGCTCCAAAAAATTAGTCTGTCGGCGAGATCAATTTCCAGCTACTCAATGACATCCCTGGCCAAGAAACTGTGTACAAGTCCAAAGCTACTGTTCCTGATATCGAAAATGCTGTCAACTACCCAACTGAGATTTTAAACTCTTTAGAACCATCTGGTATGCCTCTACACAAACTCATATTAAAGCTTGGATGCATAATCATGCTGCTGAGCAATCTAGAAGCAAATTTCTCTGGGCAAGGTGACATCTATGCAATGGTAAAAAGGTAAAGTTGGTGGTAAAGCAATTGATGCCACATGTTATAGAACCAACTATTCTGACTGGTCAGTTCAAAGGGGAAGATGTATTCATTCCTCACATCAACTGCTCCCAAGTCACTGCCTGATTGAGTTCAAAAGGCTCCAATTCCCTATTCAAATGTGCTTTGCCATGTCAATTAACAGGGCATAGTGGTGTGTCAATTTCCATTCCACGTTTGGATCCTTTGGTTGCAAGCGAAGCTGCAATGGGTACAATATATAGAATGAAATTTTTGGATCCATCACAAATCTCTAGGGGACACCAGTTGTCACCTCACCAATGAGAGAATTTTGTTCTAGAGTTCTGCCTTCTTTTTCTTAAACTAATTTCCTATCCCTACCACCATGATGGAATCTCCAATTCCATAAACTTTAATTTTAGCTTGTGTGTTTTGCCATATTGTCATGATGTGTTTACTGGAATACCAATGAACCCACTGTTGTTTTCCCTGCTCCATATGTCCCAGTCTGTGTGTAATATTGGATATCTCTGACTGAAGTTTTGTAGGTTAATAGTAATAATAATAATTCTTGCATTTGATATAGCACCTTATCACGTCTTCGAGACATTTCAAAGCACTTCAAAGAATATATTGTAAAGCGAATCAACTGTACATGTTGTGGGCAAAACATGGCAACGAATTGCATAGAGCAGTAGTGTCCCAGAAATAGTCGTGGATTCAAGTGACCAATTTATTATTATTATTATTTTTTTTGAAGGAATTATTACCCCTGGAAAAGCGATCTGTCAATTGTCTAACAAACTGGGTTCCTACTTACTACTAGCTAGATAGAGGCGTTTGGAGTAAGGATACTTGCCCAACATTTCGCCCTGCCAGGAATTGAACCCAAGTCTCTCGCTTGCAAAGTGAGTGCTCTAACCACTAAGCCACAGAACTTCACAATCCCACCCTATGGCAATAGAACCGAGTTAATGGCCAGGTTCAATGTTTACCTGGTGATTCTCACTGCGAGAAAATGCTGGACTTCCTCGAGTCCAAAATCGAGCGAATCCGCTCAGCTGCCACTGCCCTCCCAACTTCCACCCCCTCCCTACCCCCACCCCACACAATTACCCATCTGACAATTACCCATCCCTTCTTCCACACCTTTGAACCTGTCACCCCCTCCTCTGTCTTCACCACCGTAACCTTCATGAAGCCCACCACCTACTCCCTGGACCCCATCTCCACCCCTCTCCTTAAATCCCAGCTCCACTTCTTGCCCTACTCGCTGACATCATTAACACTCCCTGTCATTTGGCACTGTTCCTTCCCCCCTCAAAACAGCCATTATAACCCCCATCTTGAAGAAATCTTCCCTTGACCCATCACAGCTACCTAGCTACTGGCCCATCTCAAACCTCCCTTTTCTGTCTAAGGTCCTTGAGAGAGCCATTGTCTCCCAACTTCGTTCTTTCCTCTCCTCCCACTCCCTCCATGAACCCCTCCAATTAGGTTTCTGTCCTGCCCACAGGACGGAAACTGCTTTGGTCAAGGTCACAAACAACATCCTGACCATGTGTGACCAGGGCTCCCTCTGCCTCCTCGACCTCTCCGCCGACTTTGACACCATGGACCACTCAATCCTCCTCCACCGCCTCTCCTCCCAACTCAACCTTCAAGGTTCTGTCCTTCACTAGTTCAGGTCCTACCTTTCACCGCCTCCACTTGGTCACAGCCAATGGCTTCTCCTCCAGCCCCCGCACCGTCTCTCATGCGGTGTTCCTCAGGGCTCTATCCTCGGTCCCCTCCTCTTCACCCTCTACACGCTCCCTTGGTGACAACATCTGCAGACATGGGGTAAATTTCCACATGTATGGGGATGACACCCAACTCTACCTCTCTGCCTCCACCCTGAACTCCAGGACCACTGGCATCCTGACCGATGCCTGTCTAACATCAAGTCCTGGATGAGGGCCAACTTTCCCCAACTCAACGTCAGCAAGACTGAGGCCCTCCTGATTGGCTCACGCCAGCGCCTCCGCACCTCAGGCGCTGGCAGCATCAGCCTCCACAGCTGCACACTCAACCTCACTAAGCCAGTCAGGAACCTGTGTGTCTTGTTTGACCCTGAACTGTCATTTCTCCCCCACATCCGCGCCATGACCAGCACTGCCTACCACCATCTCCACAGTATTGCCCGACTCTGCCTCACTCCTCAGGCTGCCGAAACCCTCACCCACGCATCCTCATCAGCCTTCCCAACTCTTCCCTTCACAAGCTGCAGATCATCCAAAACTCTGCAGCCTGTGTACTCTCACGCACCAGCCTCTGCGACACCATCACTCCCACCCTCGCCCAACTCCACTGGCTCCCCATCCCCCAGAGGATCAAGTTCAAGATCCTCGTCCTCACCTTTAAGGCCATCCATGGCCTCGCCCCCTCCTACCTCTCTGACTCCCTACCAACCTGCCCGTTCCCTCCGTTCAGTGGGCTCCGGCCTGCTCCATGTCTCCCGCCCGACCCGCCCTACCATCGGTGGCCGGGCTTTCAGCCTCTCTGGTACTCCATCATATGGTCCCTTCGCCTCGCTTCCTCCCTTGCCTCCTTCAAGGCCGGTCTCAAGACCCTTCTCTTCGATTGTGCTTTTAGTTGCCTTCCCACCTCTGCCTTCCCTCCCCTCTACCCCACCCCTCCCCCATACTCGGACCCCGACACCTGACTGTTCAGTGCTTTGGGACGTCCTCCCGACGTGAAAGACGCTCTATAAATGTCATTTTGTTGTTTGTTGTGTTTTCTTGACCTCTTTTGGACTTTCTCTTATTCCTTTTTCTTATCCTCAACTGGACTTTGATTTTTCGCTTAAAAGTACACACTACATTATTGTGATGCTTCAGCAGATTAGCAGCTGATTACAGCAACATTTTACCTAAATGTAATATTACAGTGCTTGAAGTTGATATAACACCTTATCAGACTCCACAGGATATACTGAGCTGTAAAGTGGTATCACTGTGTACTTTGTGGGTGTAGGCTGATGTAGGACAGACTCTTGAGGAATCATCAGAAATGTTGCTGCATTTTAATCCATTTGAAAGCATATTGTTAAGAAACCCACATGTAGAATACATTTATCATACTAACAGAGGTAACTGAAGCCTTATTTGCATAACAATGAAAAAGATTCTACCCATAAATTTCAAACACGAGAAATACTTTCTATTCAAGATAAGATTTGTAGCATTTTTTGAACTTTGTACATTAGCTTCATAGACCCTAAATGAAACAGCCTCACACCATTCTGCTTTTTATTTCATTGTATGTGCAGAAAAATGAAATAGTAAGGTTGCAGGTCAGTACCAGAATCAAAACATTTTTATCTGTTGCAACTACTGTACAACCCAAAACAATTGCTGACTGTACTGGTGAAATTAAGCTTAACATTACAACGGGCTGAATCATGAAATGTTTCATTACCTTTTTGTGGATGCAAATATTTATTCACTTCTTGCGCATTTTGATTGGCCTCTAGAACTGTTGGCCTGCTAATGGAATATAGAAGAATGTGCAACCATTAATAGCTCATAATGTTAACATCTGAAAAGGCACAAGTTAAGTGAACTCAACCCTAATTAGGGCATCCATCATTATTACTACTAGAATCTACCCGCACAGAAAATAGCTATTACTGCACTGGAGTAAAAGAATCGTTCTATTCACTCAAGATACAATCACTTCAAAGAAGTGTTCAAATAATAACTTAGAATTCATAGCTCCAATAGTTTTGTTAATGTCAATATCGATCTTTCATATCTGGGAATCACAATTTGCATCCAATTCTCCTCAATGAAGCTTGGTACAAGTTCCGATATGAAAGGTGCTAAACAAATGTAATTTGTTGTTTCTAATATTTAACAAACATTTAATAAAGCAAAAGTCTGAGCATTTTCTAAGTTTATTCTTTTCTTACCAAAAAGAATCTACAGGGAATCTACACTCAATCATATAGGTTTTAAAATGTTGATTTTATTGCAAGACCGGTAAGGTCAAGGTGACCTCACAATGGAACACAAAACAAAATCTTAGAACAATTGCTCCCAAATTACATTCACAAGTTTTGTTTCTCTCCAAACCACTGACGTACACAAACACTTCTGAGATCTTTTCAGCACGGGACAATGAATTAAAAATCAAAATAGGAACCTATCATTGTTTATTAAAAATGAAATAAGAAAATGCAAAGATTACAACTTCAACACTTCTGAAAACCATAATGAAAACATAAAAGCCAAACATCAAAAAATATGCATTTCAATAATGAGGAAATCCAAATCATTAGAAACTAATGAAAATAAACCACCCATATTTTCACATATGCAAATAATCTTAATAGCACAGGACATCTTATATGAATGGACAAAATCTGAATGAAACCTACATTACACCAGAAAGTATAAAGATGAGTATCACTTTCAACACTACTCCTTAGGTAATAAAAATAATAATGCAACACACACTGGAAGTATTTTGTTTTCTCATTTATTTTGTACAAAAGATTTGCAATTAAAGGTAATGTAACAATTTCTACCATAAACGTTTAATAAATCTGTCAGGCCACAGCGTGTGTTTATTTTTTAGGGAGAAAATAATGACAAACTTTAGCATTGATTAAATGCTATTAAGCAAGGGATTTTGTTTTCTTAAAAAAGTTAAAACTGGATTGAAATAGTGTCCTTTGAATATTGCTTTCATCATTAACACTGAAAAAATTTCAAATCTATATGAAGGACTTTTTTTTAAAAAAAGTTACTTGCTACAATGTCACACAATTAGCCCGTTATATTTAACTTGCATACTTATTAGCAGCAGTATTTTCCTCATGAATCCATGTGCAACTACATACAAAGTCTACGGCCAGTGCAGGTTTGTTCCTCACAGCTTTCAACAGAATGGAGGGTAAAGTATTTTTGATTAGACATTCCATTTATAAGTGACATTTCTAAACGCATCAGGGAACCCTCACTACGCCCTTTTCCCCCACAAAAAACATCCCTCTACAAAAATCTGTGCTTCTGGTTCCAAATTCAATCCATCTAGTCAGCCCTACATGCACGAAAACGATAGATGTACAAGGGTTCCAATATGTAATTTAACTTAAAAAAATAAAAATAAAAAGGAACAGTTCTAAACACTTTTCCACTACTGTAAACACAAAAAATGACAGTGCTTCAGCAAAGGAGTTATCTCCGATATCTTCCTCGTTCTTTTTCTCGTTCTCTCTCCCTCATCCTTTCCCTTTCTCGTTCTCGCTCCCTGGCCCGGTCACGTTCTCTGTCTCGCCGGCTATCACGAGGTCGCTCGCGCTCTCGCTCCCTTTCCCGAGGTCTGCTTCGTCGATTGGTGACAACTGCCTGAGTACGGCGAAGAAAGTCATCTACTCTCATGTCATAGTCATGCTGTTGGAATATATATAAAAAAAGTAAAAGGTGAAATTGTTCATTTCCCAGAATCACAGCCAGATCAGAATGTAAAAAAGGCCCTTTACAATACAAATTTAGATTTATATAGCACCTTTCACATCAGGACATTCCCAGGCACCAGCCACAGTCCAGGGTTTAACCTGAGCAGGGGGTGGGGAATAAGGAGCTGGTGTAAGCGAGGTGCTTGAAACCACAGTCGAAGGTCTTGAGGCAGACCTTGAAGAAGGCAAGAGAAGGGGCAGTTGAAGGGACTCTGGGATGAAGTTCAAGAGCACAGGGACAGATATGCCAAAAGCCCCCTTGCCGGTGGTGGAGCAGGGGGTATGAACTAGGCCAGTACCCGCTGAATGGAAGGAGCACACGTTGGAAGGGTTTGAGGAAGTTGTGGAGGCAAAGCTCTATCTATATCCTTCAGCTTGTGAAGGGAAGAAGAGTTGGGTAATCCGATGAACAGAGTTGGTGTAATCTAACCTGGAACTGATAAATGCGTGGATTAGGGTGTCAGCGGTCTAAAGGGAGAAGTAATGGCAGAGGTTGGAACACTCTTCCTCTATCCCTCTGCCTTGCCCCTCCTTTCCCATTTTCAGGTCGCGCCTTCCTATTCGACCGTACCTAGTCACCTCCCCCCACCCCCCACGGCTCAGCATCGTGCTCTGCCACTGTCAAGCTCTCTGGGACATTACCCTGTGTGAGGGGCGCTGTATAAATGCAAGTTGTTGTTGTTAAAAGTGGGGGAAAGCTGAGCAGGTCAGAGAATGAAAGTGAAGTTTAAGGAACATCTGAGAGTCATATAAGACACCATAGTTCTATAGTGGAGTGCGCGTCCAAGTTGCTTGATGCTGTCAACGTCTGAGATTAGAAGACGTTGACAGGAACCAAGCTGTAGAGCCTCTGTCTTGTCAACATTCAAATGGAGAAGGTTTGAGTTCATTCCGGACTTGACAGTAGGACAGACAGTCAGTCAGAAAAGCAGTGGTCCTGGAAGCCAGGTGGAAGCCGAGATAGAGTTGGGTGCTATCCACATATATGTTGAAATTACTCCACTTCTACCAGACATCACCTAGCTGGAGCATGTAGATAGTAAAAAGGAAAGGACCAAGGAGAGAGCCTTGAGAAATGCCGCATGTGACAGTGCAGGGGCGGGAAAAGATGTGCAAAGAGAAAGTGGAGACACTGGGATAGGTCAAGTGAAACCAGGAGAGGTCAGAACCCTGAAGGTGGAGCTAAGAGGAGTGGCGTGGAGAATGATAGCCTGATCAACAGGGTCAAAAGCAGCAGAGATCAAGAAGACCTAATGACATTATTTCTATTTGTGGAGTCCTGTAGCTCAGTGGTTAGAGCACTCGCTTTGCAAGTGAGAGACCTGAGTTCAATTCCAGGCAGAGGGCGAAACCTTGGGCAAGTTTCCTTACTCCACACAGAGCCTAATAATAATCCCTCCAAAAAAAAAAAAAACAATAATTAAATTGGTCATTTTCAATCTAAGACTGTTTGTGGGACATTGCTGTGCGCAATTGGCTGCCGCGTTCGCCCACAAATATACAGTCAATTCACTTTACAGTGTGTTCTGTGAAGCGCTTTGGGACGTCCTCCCGACGTGAAAAGCGCTATATCAAATGCAAGGATTATTATTATTATTATTATTATTTGAGATCAGGCTCTCTCAAGAGAAAGCCCTGGTCACATATGGAGATAGTCATTGGTGACTTTGACCAGGGCAGTCTCTGTACTGTGGAGGAGCAAAGGGATTTGCGTATCCACGTACACAAATCACTAAAAACAAGCTCACAGGTACAAATTGGTATAAGTTATCAAAATTACTAATGGGATGTTGGCCTTTATTTCAAACAGGCTAGAATATTCAACTATATAGAGCCTTGGTCAGACCCATCGGCAATACTAAGTTCAGTTTTGGGCACCGCACCTTAGGAAAAATATATTGGCTCTGGAGGGATTACAGCGCAGATACGGGGGTTTAAAAGGTTAAATTATGAGGACGGTTCCATAAACTTGGGTCTCTATACCTTTGAGTTGTTGAAGCTTGAGGGGTGATCTGATTGAGGTTTTTAAAATAATGAAGGGATTTGATAGGGTAGATACAGAGAAACTATTTCCTCTGGTGGGGAATCCAGAACAAAGGGGCATCGTCTTAAAATTAGACCTAGGCCATTTAGGAGTGAAATTAGGAGGCAGGTTTTCATCCAAAGGGAAGTAGAAATCTGGAATTCTCTTCCCCAAATGGCTCTGAATGCTGGACCCATCCAGACTGAGGTGAATAGATATTTGTTAGGTCAGGGTATTAAGGGCGGGTAATACAGAGCAGCCATTATCTTACAGAATGGCTTGAGGGGCTGAATGGCCTACTACTCCTGTTTCTATGTTTCCATGTACTGTGGGCAGCACAGAAACTAGATTGGAAGGGTTCATACAGGGGATGAAAAAAGTGAAGCTGGGAAGTGACAAGCCATTCCAGTATCTTTGAATGAAATGGTTGGAGATGGGATGGTAGTTAAAGACAAGGGTCAAGTAAATCTCAAAGAGAGGTTTGTGATGATTTAACAGGGATCAATGAGCTGGGAGAGATGGTCAGGAGAGTATTTGGTGGGTTCCCATGGGAGATGAGGGAGGAGAGGAATGGAGAGACCGGGTTGAAAACATGGAGGGAGGGATGGGAAGATGGCAGAAGGTGGGAGGTACATACCACTCGCTTGTCTCTGTATCTGGCTTCATGTGGGACCGGATGGTGTCCAGAATACGGTGGGTGAGCCTGAGGTGGTGGAGGATGATGTTGATAATAAGGATGATGTGGAGTCTGCTCCATACCAGGATAAGGTGGCTGTAAATTGCAAACAAATTTAGATCAAACTTAAGATAAATGCTCCCCTTCGCATGAAAATTCTTTGAAATCACATTTACTGAGGAGATGACTAGTTATTCCTTTCTGCCAGTGAAATAACATCAAACCAAACGTTATGTTTTTGCATAATTCCTCCACACTTTAAGCAATTAAGGCTCACACACAAAATCTCTACCAGCACTGCGGCCATGCAAATGATACTTCAACTGCCATGCCAATAGTCTCCTATACTCAGCCCTATAGGGCTCAAGCTTGTTATGCAATAAGAAAGTATCTCTTCCCTTTGCCCCAAGTTATTTCTATGTGCCACATTAATCAATAATTAAAGATCAGATACGTGGACAAAAAAAAATCTTTGGATGCATCTAAAATCATTATCTTAAGGTGTTCAAACAATATAATTTCTTGGGACGCAATTTAAGTTTCAAAACAATTCATAAAAAAAACAAATTGATTAACAATTTGATGTTTCCCCCACTTTAGAGTTAAGGTAAATTCAGTTTGTTTGTAAACCAAGATGTTCACCCTAGTTTTCTCTTAGGGCCACTAGTTATATAGTTATACTAGTTATTTCAGCACCTTGGGACGTCCTCCCGACGTGAAAGGCACTATACAAATGTAATTTTGTATACATAAGGTAAATGACACAGCCTCTCGAAAATATCTTACATCCGTTTAGACATTGCCTCACAGAAGTCTTATTGATGAACCAGATAGATTGGTCAACAATCAATGGTACTTTGAATTACATTAAACCTGTCAGACACTTTTCTAGTCATGTCTCCTGGAGCTATCTTAATTCAGGGAGATTTTCTCTCTCCTTCCCCAACATGAGTATATTAGGCTGGAATATGCTGCAAACTGCAATAATCAATCAATACATGAGGCATTGATAAATGGCACTGTGATAATTCCATCCAAAAAGTGCAAACAGTTAAGACTTTCGTTGCAATAAATAAAGTTATTAATTGCCTGACAAAATGGTAAATTATAACTTTTGTGAAGTGCCATTTTTCTGGGAGGCTGGGATACAATATAGCATCTTTTTTATAGCAACCTTCATGATCAAAATAACATATTTAAGTGGTTTACAAAATAACTGCCAAATTATTTTGTGAGTAATTAGTATTTAAAGTATAAATTGTAGAAAGTTTTAATTAACGTGTTACTTAACGGTTTTATTCTATCAATTAGTTCACTTGCTCAGATCAATTTTAATTCAAAGAAATAAAAATCAATAAAATGTTATAAGCGCATACAATGCTCCTCAAAATATTATTAAAAAATGCTACTACAAATGGAAACGTATTTGTAACAAAATGAAGGCAGTGTTCTGTCATCATGATGCAATTTGAGGTCTACTTTGTAAAGATTAGCATTATGGGGCGACTGACAAAAACTAACTTTTCAAATCAAAATCCATTTAAGATTTTAGTCATCTTTATTGAATGCACTTGTATGTCGCAATAAGCAATATTTTCAACAGTGAAAATAAGCTTTAGCTAGTGGTCCCTTCCTTAATGATTTTAAGTTTCACAATAAGCGTGTTTGAGGGATTCTGCAGTTTCAACATAGAAATGGGTACAAACCAAATGTTTGATTTGGAAATCCAGATCCAGTTTTACAGAAGACTGGACACATTAGTTGAGTAAAAGTCACAGATATGTATGTTTGATGGTTAATAAGCAGTTTTTCAAACACCACACTTTAACATTCAGAGTGCAAATTTAACAGACTTTATAATTTGATCAATGGTGATCTATTGCAAATGCATATCCAATTAATTTTCAAAATCAACAGAATAATTTAAAAAGATTGATAGCCCAATTAAACAACAGCATTCTGTAATAGAGGAATTTTGACAATCACTCTTCTGTTGGATTGGTAAGTTGGATAAGAATTCCTTGCTCACCTATATGAATACTAGTTTTTGTTGAGCTCTGCCAATGGGGATGAAGTAAATTCTATTTTTAGGATTACAAGATATAACTCCCCAAACGCTACCTTTGTTGGAAAAAAAATCTGCAAAGTAAGCCAATTAATTTGAAAATGTTTCAAGGAAATCCAGGATGGATTTATTTTTAAACAAGTATTTTTAAAAATATCAGGCTCAGTTATGTGTTTTTGTTTATCAAAATTTGAATTTTAGAAGTTGTTTATTTTAAGTTATTTTGTTTTCAAAAATGGTGCATTTGTGCAGGACTTAGAAACATTGTACCTCAGGTTTATTAATATGCTTCAAAGGTGCAATACAGCCATGCATCAATGGGATAATAATCCATGCATTTGAAACAGCGCCTTGTCACGTCTTCAAGATATCTGAAAGCACTTCACAGAATATACTGCAAAGTGAATTGACTTGTGTATTTTTGGGAGAATCGAGGCAGCAAATTTGCGCACAGCAGTGCCCCACAAAAACAGTTGTGAATTGAGTGACCAAATTATTATTATTTTTAAAGGAATTATTACCCGGAAAAGCGATTTGCCAATTGACTAACAATGAGTCCCTACTTACTACTAGGTAAATAGAGATGTGTAAAATAAGGAAACATGCCCAACATTTCGCCCTGCCGGAATCAAACTCAGGTCTCTCGCTTGCGAGGCGAGTGCTCTAACCACTGAGCTACAGGACTCCACAGTAGGATTGCAGTAAATAAGCATTTGTGTTGCATTGACAAGTTACCAACCAGAAAAATATTTTGAAATAGTTTATTTTTAGGTCAGGCTTTTTTCTACTTTGTGTATTCCACTTTTTTTTAAAGAAGTTTGAAAACAAAACTTTTTGAGTGTGATTTTAAAAGCGATGTGCTACAAAGATAGTGGTCATTTTGTGCTGTCTTTTCAAAATCCTAAACTTTTTTTGCCCTGGGTGCAATTCTAATAACAATATCCTACAACAATGTTACTGATCTTGTGGTGTGTCTTGTTCTGTACCTTCACGCTTATGTCATTACTCCTGGTTTGGGGTTAAATGGGAATTTTGAAAAAAATCTTTAAAAAAACTTTAAAATGAACTTTATTAATTTTTTTAAAATGAGGACTTTGAAAGGACAAAGCAAAATGACCACTATCATTGTAATTTACAACCACGTTGCTTTTACAATCACACTCAAAATGGCAGGTTTTGTTTTCAAACTCCTAAAAAAAATCAGCTGAGTGAGAACATTTTGTAAAGCGTAACTAATCAATTAAAGGCACAATAACTGTCAAAAATCCGCCATTTAGCAAAACATAGTTTTGCAGGAACTCACCATTCCCTGCCACGGTGGTGGTGGACCAATGCTGTGATGAAATTCCCTCATATAATCATTGTAGGACTGTGAATTAAAGATGTTTTTGCAGATTGAATCCAGGTTTTGAAAAGTATTGACAAGCAATAATATGAACACTTCTACAATTCCAATGCTTCAAAGATTGATAGGAAGTTACTCACTCCATTTAAAAACACATCCCGTCGAACACCAGAAAATCGTCTGTTGGGAGAAAAGGTTTGGAAATACATTGAAACCATTCAAATGTTCTTTGCAAGGAAAGTAAAACTAATACGAACATGTGACATCAATTTAAAGAACCTACCTCTCTACTTCTTGGTACCGTGGATCCTTCATGTATCCTGTTCAAACATGAACACATTAACAAGCGCTGTATTGCAGAACTATCATTACAAATAGGAAGCTGTCCCATTAAAACAAGGCCAAATAGGCCTTATTCAGCAATACAAAAAGCATTCAAATTTCCTTTGACAACCTGCAAAGATTTATAGTGCACTTGAAGTAAATAACGTGACATCATCCTTCAGTTCTGCAATGGCAAGTGTAACATTACCTTCCTTTTAAATTAAGGTGTTTCCCTATGGTGGCTATTTTCAATATTTTGATTTAACAGCTAGTGTTCATATCCTCAGCAGATACTAATCTGGGAATCAAAGTCCAACACCACGAGGGAACCACGTTAACAGTAGAGTTCTTTTACCTAGGCCACTACAATAAAAAAAATGTATTTCATCAAATGCTGTTCAGAAGGTTCAACTCATTTAATCTCATTCTTACAGAATATCCACCCTACTGTTTTCTCATTTCTTTCAATGAGTCCTGCATAATGGCCTCAACCAACCAAGCTGTCAATTGCCCTTCATAATTCTGAACTTGTGCTGTTAACCTGGGGTATTTGATATTTTTGTTCTGGGGTAATGTTTCTTTTGGAATCTTATACATTCATTCTCACAGACACTGCTTTCAAGCCTAACTAGTTTAGCAAGTCATCATTAGACCTCAGCCCTCTAACCCTGGGGATGAATCTCGCTGCTGTCCTTTACACTGCCTGTTGTACCTAAGCAGCCCTCTTTTGTTGCATTGGCCAGGACTATATATACATTTCTTAGCAGGGAACTATGAAAAGATGTACAATGTTTGGTACATTCCATTTTTAAAAAGCTAATTTATGGTAGAAACAATGTTGGGAGGGAAATGTTCACAATAAACATTTCCACGAATGATCCAGCTTTCATCACTTAACCTGCACCTTCACCCAAACCTGCAAATATAATTTCCAAATCAGATTTCCCCAAATTTTCCCCAAATAGTTTTCTTGTCCATAGGTTGAAAAACAAATTTACCCAATAACACTTTGAAATATAGATTCCCAAATATTTATTTTTCCTATATTTATCATATCACAAATGCTTTCTAGTGAACATGACATAACTCACAAAAGTCAGTCACAATAAGTTTATAACGGTCTCCTCAATTTATCAGCTATATTTATCAGCCCATTTTTCATAGCACAAAGCTATACAGACAAGAAGGTTGCAGATTTGAACTCTGTGATATGTAAACTAACTAATCTTGGGCCAGAGTGGCAGTAAGGAAGTTGGAATTGACTTCAGCACCCTTGCTTTGGGAAGACAGAAATAAACATTGGCTCCTACTCCATCGCTGCCTAGCGATTAAATTCCCTGGCTGGATGACCCACATGTTAAGGACATCGTTTTCAATTAGGATGAATCCTTTCCTTGCATTGTCAAGCAGTATCCAAACAAAGGATCACATATAAATAATTTGCCACTTAGTAAGAGCTTGGAGGGCAATAGAATGTTGATAGAATAAACCGGCAGGATCCTTTTTAAAAAAAAAATCTATTACTTTTAATGGGAACTACACGGAGCACAGGAGACTTCAAAAATCTACACTGCCACGTGAATCTCTCTTCCCACGTGAAATGCATGTTCCTGAATGACCCCGGTCAGTAGATATTTTTAATCAAATTCATACCGTCAGCCTGTAGCTGTTAATTTTTACAGGTTGAATCAGCTAACCAATGTATTGAGTGAACTCATCCTAATACTTTCAACAGATTCTAGAATTGGGTACAGAATTGAAAACCAATCATGGTATGGCAGTTAAATGGCAAGAGAACAAAGATTGGTGATAAAAGAATCCTCAGGTGCTACAATAGCATCTTTATAAGGTTAATATGTATCTCGTAGGGTGTGTTCACAGCTAAGCACATAAAACAGTCCACCTGCCAAATTTTAAAAAATAAAGAATGTTGGAAAAGCTAGAATATTAATTTAAAATTTCTGGGTAAACTAAATCTGGAACATTCTTTCCTCAGTACAAGCAGTATAAATTCAAAAAGTGAGGGTGGTCAATCCATATCCCTTTTGCTAATTTACTATAATAGCTAGATAGGAAAACTGACTTTTTTTTGCCAATGCTGGTCACAACAGCATTTCTGAAACGACTTATGTCCCAAGTACTGCAAGTGAATGTTTCATGGTAGTAGTATATTTGAATGGTCTTATGTTTATCACAACTCATGCATCCTGTACACACAATGCTGTAATCTCAAGGTATTTGCTTTCCTATCACTCACCTTTATACTGCCTACAGTTGCTCAACATTTTCCATCAGTTTTCAATGATTATTGCTGGCCATGAATGCTTAAAAGTATTATTCCACAGCAGTAAACAGGAAACATGCACAGTGGGATACATTTGCACTTACCTAAACATTCCATTCAGTATGAGGTGTACTTTTTCAACAAGAAAATTGAGGATTCCATGTAGCAATTTAAAAGGGAAGCCTGTGCAAGTCTAAAGAGACTCACAGCTGCAACTACACATACCCAGATATACTTGATTGGGTCTGAGATAATGATCATGTTTTTGTACATCAAAATGTCAATATGCTACAAGATAATGACCTGGTCTTTGTGAGAATTCTGGTGGGTAGTCAATCCTTGGTCTCTTTCTGGTGTTATATGTGTCATAATCTTCAGCTCGACGCCTACATAAATTAGGTAAACAGAATCATTATGGAAACAACGTGATAAATTCAGCTAAAAAAACGCCAAAGGAAAGCAAACACTGTTAAAAAATGCATAAGGCAGCAATCGGGAAATGCAAAAATTGGTATTTAGGTTTTTTTTACCATAAAACATAGTTTGTGAATTTGATAAGATAAATGTTCATACTCTGACCATAATCTACTTCTCATTTATTATGTGTCAATTACCAATTTTACGATTAGTTTAATAAATTCCAAATAAAGAGTGATTATGATCAGCAATTCACAAATGCTAACTGTGCAGAAACATCAGATCTTTCACGTTAAAGATCCTTCAAAGTAAACAGATAAAAAAGTTATGACCAACTGTTAAAAGACAAGAAGTTTTGAGAAACAGATTGCATTTCCTGACTGCTTTCTTCAAAAAATATATAATTTTACTGTATGTTACAGGAACAGAAAGCAGATTTACAAAAAACATTTTTCACTACATGGCAACAAAAATGTAAATTACCATGTGAATTCCAAGAAATTAAACATCTTAGATTTTTCAAATTAAGAAATAAAGTTCCCTTGGCCACTGAACATTTCTGAATTTTCAAATATTTTGTACTTTTGACTCAATTATCATTCAAATAACTATCCCTATAAAGTGGAAGAGAATGTTAAAATCATAGAAATGTTACAGAAACAAGCGTTTTTAAGATTTGCACTGGTGCTTTTCCTCCACAATGTACCTAGTGTAATCCCACTCTCCTACTTGCTCCTAATTCATTTAAATTATTTTTCATAATTCCCTGTAACTTTATGGACTGATTCAGAAATAATTGTGGCAAAGAATTGCACATTTTAATCACCCTATGTGTCTGCCTTTCAATTCTTTTTGGATATCTTAAATTTGCACCTGCTAATTATTGACTAAGTCAGCAGGAAATCTATTATTATTCCGGCCCACAGTAGTGGCCAAACTGTGGGCCGGAAATGATCCAAGGGACTGTCAAAAAGTGCCCCCCGTCCCACCCCGGAATAGTCGCACCAGTTTAAGTGAGTCAGTGTTCGATCGGTAGTGTCAAATCAAGAACATTTATTTTGTTGACTGACCATAAAGGTTAGTCATCACTGATTTAGCCTTCATAACGTTGAAGACATCAGTGATCACCATTAATATTCTCACTGAGTGAAAACAGCCCTTCGTCACCTCTATAGAATGAAACCCACATTTCTGGCAACAGTCTACTTACCCTAGAATCTAAGATGTATATTTGCTATTGTGTTCATATCATTTACTGGGAATTCATAACTGTGGCCTAAAATATCATACAAGTTCAGCATTACTTGCTCTTGTATTCTATGACTCCAGGTGAACAAGGTGTCAGTTTTCCTTTTTATTGTCTCATTAAATAAATATATTAAATGTATTAAAATGTATTAAATATGTGTACAAATGCACCTCCACTCCATTTAAAATCATACTATTTAAGATACATTTCCTTATTCTTTCTATCAAAATGTTTCAACACTGAATTATATCTGCCAACTATCTGCCAGCCTGCCATGTCTTCCTGCAATCTTTCACAATTCTAATCACATTTGTTCCCCCCACCCAATTTATGCTTTCAGCAAACTGACAATTGTTCCTTCCAAAGATCATTAATGTATGTAGTAAAAAAAAGAAGCCTCAATACAGACGCCTGCGGATCAATCGCTACATTATCTCAGTCAGAGAAACTATCTTTTAACTCTTTTCCTTCGTGCTCTGCTACCATCTCTCTATCAATGTGGTCACAATCCCCTTAATTTCATGTGTCAATCTTTGTCACAAGTCTCTTGTGTGGTACCTTATTTTTTGAAAATCACATGCAATGAATTTCCTTATTCTATCCTCCCATTATTTCTTTAAATAATTCTGTAAACTTGGTCATACTAAAGAGCATACGAGACTCAACTTTTATTTTATTCTTTGTTTTTTAAATTTCAGATTGATCTAATCTGGTTTTCACTATAAAGTGCCAGGATATAATCCCATTTTCAATATTCTTTTTCCTAAAATATATTCCCTTTGCATCCTTTCAGTTTCCAGATTTCTGATTGTTACCAAACTAATTTCTACTTGCCAATTTTTCTTTCATTAAACTCTAGAAAGGCCCCTTTTACCTGGTGTTATTCCATAGCTAACAATTCAAATTACAAATATAATTTTGTACAAACTTTGCTTTAAACGTTAGCTAAATTTGCCTCATTTTTTCTTGCTAAACTGGGTATTGCATTACCAAAGCAATAATGAAAACCTGGAAATGACCAACCAAAGTTATAACTATAGTCACATATTACAGTGTTAAAGTAGAACATAGACTAATTTACCTTTAGTGAGCAATTTAAATTCAAATTCCTATGGTTACAAAACATAAAAGTAAACCTCAATTTGAAAATCTTTTTGAGAGCCTCGATAGTCCAAAAACAGCAGGTTAAAAAGTGTACTGATGTTGGGTATATGTATACTGAAGTACTTTTTTCCAGCTTTCTGTTACATACTTATGCATTTAAAATAAATCAGCAAAAAAAGCTTTTAGGGTGGGAAATATTCCATCATTCTGCATGAATTCTAGCTACTGACTCAGAGGTCCAAGGAGTTACTGTGAATGTCAGATTTACAGACAAGAGTTTGCACTTATTTGCATAAGTGAGCTAGCAAACCACAGGATAAAAACAGAAAAGAAGGCAAATTTATAGGCAATATATATTAGTTTTGTAAACTGAGTTGAATTAAACCCAGTTGGACTCATAAAAACCTATGCAATAACAACAAGCAGCTGAACAAACTATATGCTGGATAATTCACCTAGTTTAATTTTTTAAGAATCAAAGGATAAATTCTGTTCCACAATTATTTTGAAAATCAAATTAGCTTAAATAAAAGTAAAATTGTACCAGCACAGAAACATGCAAAAAGTGTGGATTTTCCTCACCCATTTATGAAAAACAAAGCAAAGGGCGACTACAGCATATAAAATTCTGGTTAAAGTAGGAACATACCGCTTCTTGTAGTTGATTTTTGACCACGCAACGAAGGTTTTAATATGACAGTAAAGTTCATAAAGCAGTCCCAACTAATGACTTATGATGTGTGAGCCACAAACATAAAGGGAGGGCCTGGCAGGCTGAGAAGAGCTGTTGTGGTAGCAATGCTATTGCAGTCCAGTGCAAAAAATAAACTCCATTCACAAAGACTTTTAAAATAGCACAGTGAAACCCCTTGGCTCAAAACTTCAAAAGACAGCTGGCCGCACAGTCCGTAATAGCCACAAAGAGAGGGACACTGCCAGGTTTCCTCCTACCTAATCGACAGTCCACAACATCAATGAAATGGGCCACTGTTGGATTTTTTTCCTACCTACCACAGGTGCTTTTCCACAAAAGGAAACATTTGTCAAAGGTTGCATCCCAGTAAACCAGATCAATCCATAGTCCTTTGACAGAGTAGAGGGTATTGAAAGACTTAAATCTGGCGTTTGGAAGTTGGCTACAAGCAAAAGCACTAAGCAGAGTGGTTACATCAGTTCTTTGAATTTCTCCACTTTTTGGAATGCGTTAACACCCCTTTTTCCTCCCAGGATCAGGAGGGAACCGTATAAAGTTCACAAGCAGTGCTCAGTGAGGTGGCTTCAAACTGTAAACGTCCAGAGGCACTGCGGACATCTAGGAGATCGTACAGACTCAGCAACATCCACTCTCTGGTTTGTTGCCAGGTCTCCAAGGGTCATCGATTTTTCCCTTGCAAAACAACCTAACCACGTGGATCCTTTCAGAACCTCAGCAGCTTGACGGAAATGTATTCACTGCGTCTAATTTTTTNAAGGATATTTTTCAATGGGGTTACGCATCACGGTGACCAGGACGTAGCACCAAGCGAGAGTCCCATATTAATGCTCTTCTTGATCAAGTTAAAATAATTTAACACATTTTCCCCCAAATGAGGTGCCATCTTCTGCAAAATTATTAGACACTGATCCTTTTTAAAGTCCCAGATCACATTATTATCCATAGGAATATACCTGAAAGAAAAGGCTTTCACAAGATATCATAAAAGCAAGTTACCAATAAAAAATAAACACTTGTTTGTTTACACTCCACCTACCCCCACCAAGATTTCATTACTTCTACACAACTCCTCAAACTCCCGACCACCCCGATATCTGTACAAAGGATGTACCACTCCATATATTCAAGTAATTGAAATAATAAAATTACCCCACTTTATTACAGTTCATTCTGCACATTTAAGCTTTAGCCAGGTGTATGGCTCCACTCTTTTACTCTTGAAGACGAAAAGCCACTGCTGTGCAATCCTCATTGAAGCCACAGACTAGTCCATGCAGCTTGACATGAGGATATTAAAATGATCTTCTGCATCGTTGGTACCATGCATGGTGAATCTTACTGCTGCATCATGTTACTCCAATACAAGTGCCTACTATCAGTCCAAAGAACGTTTCTAACCTTCCCACTTCCCGGACTGGATCACGTCGAGAAGGTCGTCCTCTTGATCGGGGCTGTGAATGCCCCCTTCTCTTGTGCCGCATTTTATGAATGAACTGATACAAGTCAATGCTTTCATCTGGTGGAAACAGAAGGCAAAGTTGTGTACCACAATCGGGTTCAATTTCCTAGAGAAAAAAAAGAACATTTTGTTTATTTTGTTGAAGCAGGCGAGCAATTGCAAAACTGCACTTAAGTGTCAAAAGACTTCATACCTGCCCATCCCTTCCAATCTTAACAGGTTTATTTTCATTCCATAGATTCACAAGATGGCTCGTTTTTGTGAATGGTAATTCGCGCCTGGGGGAAAAGAAATTTATGAATAAAAAAAAGATTTGGTTGCTTCAATACATTAGCAAATTGAACTCCTTCTAATGCACCTTTACTTTAAGCTCAGTCTCGGCTGTCCCTTCACTGCAGTGCTGGGGGAGTGCCACATGGTCGAAGGTGCTGTCCTTCAAATAAAATGCTAAACTGGGGTCCCGTTTGGTTGTTCGGGTGATAAAGACCTCATGACGTTATTTGAAAATAAGTTAATTTCCCAGAAAAAAGATTATTAACTTCAAGGTTGTTTGTGGGATATTGTGTGTAAACTGGTTGCCGTATTCCTCTACAAATATAATCACTACATTTAACAGAAAAGCGAATCACTTTGAGATGCATCAACATAAATCGCTTTATTATTTTACAACAGCTTCACATTCATGCAGGGATTTTTATATTACTAAGTTTGATTCAAATGTATCCCAAAGTAAGGTTCTCCCAACTCCTTGGATCGCCCCTGGTGTTCCAGTCCAGAAGGCAAGTAACACTAGGATCTGCCAATATGAATTTTCACCTGGCCACTACACAACAGAACCTATACATAGAGAATGGATAGCCTTGACTCAAATCTTTCCACTCAAGCTCACCTTGTAAACAGAAATTTCTTATACACCCGTTTATAACAAGATTATGAATTTAATTTTGAGTGTATTTCATTACTCGTACACATTACACACCCAATAATACCTGCAAATCCAGTCAATTTTGAAGACTCCGCCTAACATTTTGGCATTCATTCCTGCAGGTAACACCCAATGAATAGGGGATCCTCCATGGTGTGATTCCGATGAAAGTCTAGCAAATCCTAAAGAATAAAGCATACATTTATTCCCGGGCGGGTGAAAGTTTCCTTACTCCACACGCCTTTGTTTACCTAGCAGTAAATAGGAACCCGGTTGTTAGTCGATTGCTCATGGGGTAATAATCCCTCAAAGAAAAATTAATAACAATAATAATTTGGTCATTCAATCCATGACTAGTGTGCGCAATTGGCTGCTTTGCCCACAAAATGCACAAACATATTCTGTGAAGCACTTTGAGGCGCTTCAATGACATGATGTATATATAATAGTCTATATCAAATAAAGGATGATTACTAATATTACTAAATTTTAACCCTTATTCAACATTAGGGAAATCCTTGATGAGCCGCTTGGTGTGATTTTGGGGCAGATTCCAGCGCCTTGGGACGTCCTCCCGACGTGAAAGGCGCTCTATAAATGGAATCTTGTTGTTGTTATTTGGAAGTAGGCCCAATCAGCAATAGTAATAAAAACACACACCAGAGTTGAAAGTCTTGTCGGGATTATATTTGTCCTGGATCCAAGAATATAAAAACTGGTTTGTCCAAACATTTTAATCCAATTATTTATTTTCAGAAAAACTGAATATGTTTGGTGTTTCCTACACATTTAAGTATTTAAGGTTACTTAGAGGAAATACTGGAAACTGAGATTCTCATGACTTGTGCTGTTTCAACTGGTCAAAATCTAAAACCAGTAATAAGTGTGAAATGGTAATGTAATCCACCAGAAGATTCACTGTTCAATCACTTTGCACGAGAGGCTTTTACTCCGAACTTAACACATGATACCATTACATTGGGAAGAGTGCAATTTGGGCCATTTTCAGTTCCCTCACATTGAAAACCCACAAAAAGCATTTTGTTAACATTTCAATTTAATATACATTGCAGTGGAAAACACAAAAATATTCAGGATTCAGTTTTTGAGATGACAAATGTTATCAATTCAAGCTGCTTCAATACTAGATAATTGTTTACAAGTGTTTACCAATTGTTTACCTTTTGAGACATGGTAGGAAAAGAAGTTGACATTTTTAAAATTAACGATAGGCGAGGGAAAAGCTCCATCCCCAAAGGCTTGGTTATATGAACTACTTTAAATCCAGATTCTCACCCTGAAACTTTCCACTTTCTCTGACAGAGAATATTAAAATCACACTTCTAGCATCTCGAAATGCAGTGTTGAGCTTCTTTTCATTCACTGGCAGTGTTGACCATACACCCTAGGAGCGGAGAAAAAAGAATAGATTTCTAAATGCGCAACATATTTTAATAGGTGAACAATGATATTAAAGAGAGGATGAATACTAATTTAACACTAATAGTGCAAGCAAAATGATTCACAAGATTGGTTCAGATGAAGACGGTCCTTTGGCGCATCCGATCCAACTATCCTCCCAACACTGCATCAAGTTATGTTTTGAATGAGTCCAAAGTCATGGCTTCAATCATTTTTCTTGGTAACTAAGAAAACTTGCCGTTATCTGTCGTGAAATTGTCCTTCACATCTCTATCCCTATGTCCTCTTGCTCTACTGTCCCAGTATGTACCAATTTTTTTGGCTTGAAAACTCAGGCACTTCTCAAATTCTTTAATAACCACAGTCAGCAACAAAACTGATAAGAAAAGGAAAACATTGAATTTTAAGGGCAGATATTGAAAAAATCCATCCTAATATTTGGAGAAGCACATTCACTGGTAGGTTACATGCCCATTGATAAAAACAAGAATCCATAAGAATCCAAGTTGCAGAGACAAGCCTACATAATTGCTGTACCAGCTCCCCAATGGAATGATCTTCTCAAAACACATTTCCCTGCTCTTTATTCACACCTTTTTGGTTAATAAGGTGTCACTCGGAAACCCATTGCTGTCTTAATATCCAAACCAGACAGTCCCATATAGCATGCTACCTACGCATTATATTTGCCCATCATCCAGAACTCTGCAGCCCATGTCCTCTCCCGCCCCAGGCTCTGTGACCCTGTCACCCCCATCCTCGCCCAATTCACCTTTGGCTTCCCATCACACAGAGGATACAGTTCAAGATCCTGGTCTTCACCTTCAAAGCCCTCCATGGTCTTGCTGCCCCCTACCTCTGCGAGCTACTAACCCCCTACCATCCTGCCTCCTCCATCTGCTCAGCGGGCTCCGGCCTGCTTCACGTCTCCCACCTCGGTCGCCTTACCATTGGCAGGCAGGCCTTCTACCACTCTGCCCCCACCCTCTGGAACTCCATCCCGCAGTCCCTCCGTCTCGCCCCTCCCTTGCCTCCTTCAAGACCCATCTCAAGACCCTCCGCTTCGACCGTGTTTTTGATCACCATGCTTCCCCCCTTGCCCTCCACCATCCCCAATCCCGATCCCCAGCTTAGGTCCAAAACTCTGTCTGTCTTAGGACACCATCCCGACGTAAAAGGCGCTATTCAAATATAATTTTGTTGTTGTTCATCTTGGCAAGAGCCAAGGCACAACACCAGAGTGTGCAATGGACACTGCTGGAATTTAACCAGCTTGCCAATATGAGAAATGTCTGACAAGCTTGTACAGCTAGCACCACTTGGTTAGGGCTTTGGCTTGTAGGGTTAAAAGAAACTAGGTAAGAAGAATCCTTGCCTGGGCAATTGGTATGAACCTTCAAATCCTGCCACTAAGCCAAGCTAGCTGGGCTGTCACCATCACTGCCTTGGGGTACTGCAGACCCACTTGGCCCAAGAATCAGAGTACTTAGACCGCCACAGAGGAACAACTCGATTCTGACATTCCATTGCCAGTTCTATCATCTTGGAGCCAGCTCAGCCCTAAGAAGAACCTGTTTACCTCTCTGCCCCAGCAAGGATGGTCAATATCCTTTTATAGTTTTACCCTTCATGTATCTATCTAATAAACGTTTAAAAAAACTACGTAACTGTTTTGGCTCCAAAAACGCACTTACGAGAGAACATTCAACTATTTAATAATACACTTTGGAGACATTTGAAAACAAAGATCATATATCATTCGTTAGTTTGCGTAAATGCAGACTAAATGAAGAAAACCAGCAAAGGTTTCCTCATCTTCCAGAATCAAAGCAATATCTCCTCAGAACGAATAACTACTGGCCGCTTCAAAAATGGATCTGTTGAACAGCAAGTCATCCTTAGAAGACAGAACTAAGTAAATGACGGAGAACTTCATCATGTTCCAACCAAACATTTTGAATGCCAATATTTATTTGATTTCCCCACAAAATGGCAGATGGGTTAAAATTATAATTCCAAAATATTAAGTCCCAGCAACAAAAGCCAGAGACACCCGAACAGTCAAAAGAAACCTAAAGGACCCACTCACACAAGTATAGATTGTTAAGCAGGTTTTGAAACAGTAAATGAAGTACAAAATCTCTTGGAAACTACTCTACAAATGAGATAGCCAGACAATACAAGATCCCCAAATCCCTTCCTGTGGGTAAAATACTTTCTAAAAAGGAAAGCATTTTTCTGCTTGCCAAGTTAGTTTTAACAAAGGGTTAAATAACATCATCAATTCAGATGACCGAATTACAATCTACCGAACAGTCAGAAGTAAATCAATTCGAGATCCAAATAATACCACTTCTTTCTGGATCAGTGAAGTGTTTATTTCACCTGTGGAAATCAGCCACAGTAAACAATCAGAAATCACTAGTTGTAACCATGTTATTACCATTGAGAGTCTTTATGCAGCTACAGAGCTACCAGAGGAATAAACAACATAAACAGTTATTTATAGCTTTGATAAATATGGAACAAGTACAAATATAAATTTAAATTGGTTTTCAAAGTTAACAGCAGCATTCTGATCTCTCTGAATGAATAAGATCAGCATGCAGATGAACATTTAAAGTAGATTGTTCCACCAATAGGCTACAGTATTCGCGGTGGGAACATATAGTACAGAAATGGATCATGCTCCTTTTGTACACAATTACCTTAGCTTTGGCTAGGGATACATTCTCATGGTTGTTGCTCTTGATGAGGAAAAATCGTGCATCTCGTAGAACATACTTCAGTTTACTTGTCTGATCTGTAAAATATTAATGCAAAATGAGCGACTTCAAACAGTAACTGAAAATGGTACAACTAATTATTTGTAGGACAAGTTTTCAATACTCAGTAACTTCAGTGGCTTTTCAGCTTTACCCCAGAGAAGCAAACAGTCAAATATTAACTCAAGGAGAACGCTGATCAAGTTTATGTAAAATCTAAGAGCAAGTAGCATATCCATCATGGAACCAGAATTTGAATCCAGGGGAGACGTGGTCAGCTGCACGGGTCCAAAATGAGTCAAACTGGATTATCTCAACCCAACATGAAAAGGATTTGCGTCCACAGCACAGACGGACCACAGTTCTGCAAGAATTTATCCGAATTGAAAGTCTTGTTAAGAGTGACCCCTAGGGGGGATGAGGGTGGGGGAGGGCAGAAATCACACTGGGGCAGTGGGGGTTGTATTTAAGCACAATGCAGTGGAAAAATTATTCTCCATCTGGTTTGCATTTCTCCACCTCATCTTGAGAAGCATATAAATTCACTAAAATATCAGATAGAATAGGCAGAAAAGAGGTCATTTCAGTGTATCTATAATAATAATAATCCTTGCATTTGATATAGCGCTTTTCACGTCTTCTCGACGTCTCAAAGCGCTTCACAGAATAGACTGCAAAGTGAATTGACCGTATATTTGTGGGCAAAATATCTATCATAGACAACAGAAAAATCAGTAAATAGACAAAGAGAGAAAGGGAAAATAATATCAGTGAACATCAGTACAAAATACAAATGATAGGCTGGTTCAACCAACTGCAGCAAACAACATTTTGATAATATTTCTTCAAAATATCCCAGTCACTCGATTTCTTAATAACCAGAGCATGTTATCTTGTCGCTTAATGTTCTCAATACAGATCAATGTTTCACATTTTGTGTGCCAGAATATCTTTATTTTTTAAAATTGGTTGACTGATATCAAAATGCCTGTTACATTTCAGTAATAAACTACTTTCCAAAGGACAATTAAAGACACAGTGCAGCTCAAGATTTCCTCTTTGGTCACCATTTCTTTAAACGTTAATTGTTTTAATAGCTTTTTTAAGTGAAAAGTTGGTTTAAATTTTAACCACACATGGGTTGGTTCCCTAAACGTAAATACTTTGCTAAATTTCTGATCAACTCAGACAAATGGTGTTTTAGTCTTCATCAATTCCAAACACACATACCACCACCAAGCAAATCACTAAATGCCAGTAATACAATGTCACACTTCAGCCTCCAGTTCCAATTTGACTACAAACAAAATTATGTTTTACATGTACATAATTTAAAAATTAGACAAGGAATAAATGATTCCAAAGTCTTATCCAGAAATATCTATTGAACTTTATTTTTTTCACCAGTGCTTAATTTTCTTTCTTTATAAATACCCTGAATCTTTTGTTTTACTGTATAGTAATGTATGATGTGCATATCAAAATAAACAGATTAAAAGTTAACTTCCACAAGAAATTTTCTAGTAGAATAAACTACAATGATACAATAAATAGGATTAAAGCTATATTACTGTATTACTAGTTAGACATATAGTACTTCAATAGTGTTCCATTTTACATCCTCTAAAGTTAGAAACATTCAGTCCTCTCATTAATAGCTTTTACAATCTCATTTGTTTAGAAAACACGGCTTGTCAGGAACATCAAATAGACAGTGGCGTACATCAAACAATAGTATTCTCATCAGAAACTCTACAGTTTCACGTAGGAGTAGACCACAACGCCACCTAGTCTTATCATTCAACTTTGAAGATTCCTTGGAAACATTTAATTCTTCCAATAAGATGGAATCCTTTGTTTCCAGATTCAACTAGATCCCAGCGCTTTTATTTATTCTCAAGCTATAATCCTTTTGCTCTTGAATTTTGTCCACAGCAGAAGAACTTCTACAGATATAAGTTTAAACACCTTTATCACATCCCCCCTCAGTTTTCTCTTTTCAAGAGAAAAGTTCTAGGGTGACCAACTGCTACTATGTTTCCATAGGAGCATCTCTGCCTCAATGACATGCACACAAAATTGTTCCATACATACATCCATCTCCAGGTTTAGTTTTTAACGGTAATAAATATCCTGCATTTATACAATAATTGTATCAAAATTCTGCTAAATCAAAGTACTAAAAAAAAGAAGTTGAAATGGACCAATTTATTGGACCAGAATATCGGATTAACTTTTTTNAATTAAAAAAGTCTGCTGTGTTTTACCCTAGCAATAAATGAGCAGGATCACTGAAAAAGCTTTATTTTCTCAAATAGGTTTCCTTCATTTTCCAATTATTTGGGTATTTCATTCAACCTCGCCCTCCCATCAACAATTCCCAATCTAAAACAACACAATGACACATGTCCCAGTTCTACATTCAGCATGACGTACCACCATTCATGTCAAATATTGTAGAAAAAAGGTTTAACATAAAAACGAAGACCTGAAGTGAAGTTCCTATAGGAAAGTAAAGCAAGGCACTCTCATCAATGATAGAAAAAAGATACAAAAATTGGGCTACAGCAATGATAAAGTAAGAAAGCAAGAGCAAAGCCTTTAAATGAATGTGAATTCCTCACACAAGTATGAGGTTTATTCTGATGTCCATGGAGGATAGGAATGAAAAATTGCAATGTGGGTTATGAAATTTTTATTTGGAAATCAGATTAAAAAGCCTATATGCACAAACTTACAACTCAGAAACTAAAGAATCACAAGCTCATGTATATGTATTTTTGTACAGGAGCTTAAAAATAAAAGGGGAAAAATTAGTTCTGCTGGTATTCCTGAGTTTCTTTGCAGCAGTTTACATCAAAGACCTTAGCTGATAATCATCAAAAAAAATCAATGTCTTAATATTTAAATAAGACCAATAATACAAATACCATCCAGCTAACTTTTCCATGCCATCAAATTCCCCTTCTTCAAGAATTGTGCAGAGATACTGCACTTGAAGTGACACTGAACAGGTGAATAAGTAAATATGTTACAATATTTTGACAATCTTAATAGATTTGGATTAATCAGTAAAGTACCATTTGCAGCAAGAAAGAAATGCAGTTTTATAATCTGATTAGAGAAAATACTACTTTGTATTTGATTACTACCACCTAACTTGTGTTCAGTTTTGCTCACTTGCTTCAAGCAGATTGGTTTGACATACATCAACAAACATCACCACAACATTGAGGTAAACTACATAACTAAGGCCAAATACGATAATTATTTCTAACACATCCTATTTCCCTTGTTATCATGGCATGTAATGGGCATTGCAAGTGGTTTGATTTCATGAACTGGCAAGATAGAAAATTCCACTCTTTATGACACTTAATTCCCAATTACAGAGCCAGTGCTTTTGTATCACCACCTCCATCTCACCGACAAAGAACATTTCCCTTTCAAAACACAGATAGGAATAAATTGCTATGATAGAAGGAATGGTGTCCATCTTAAAACTAGGCAACCATAAAACATTCCCTATCGGTATACAGGAGGGAGTTAGAGAGAACAATGTCACCTTAACAGAAGATAACACAGCCGTTGTAACAAGATGGTTTTGAAAGGAAAGGAAATAGCTCCAGGATACACTCACACTGAACAAAATTCCTGAGAAATGAACTTTTGGGGGTGGGGGCGGGGGAGAACATATACCCTGCATCTACAAGAGACTTCTGCATTCATGAAACTATAATCAATGAGGGGATTTAAAGAGTGCGGATTCTTATCGCAGTCGAATTAATAGTCTATGAAATGTACATATACAAGACAGTTCAGAAACAAGATAAAGAAAATCATGGAAAAATGTAAATTACCCCTTTCACTAACAAGGCATCTTTCAGCTGAAGGCTTAAAAGTTGTAGAGCATTACTTTTTCAATATTGTAAAGTCTAAAAGACACAGAACATTCATTTCATTCTGGACATCAAACCCCAAAATGTCAACCTATTGGAGCTGCTTTTCCAGCTGCTTTATCTGCTCAAGCACACTTATTCTGACCCCTAAACTTATTGTTTCCATACCTTTACGAACTGCCCGCACAGATGATGACAGCTTCTCATGTTTCTTCTCTGATCCTGCATTACAGTACACAAATCCCATTAGGCCCTTGCTGTTTAATCTCCAAGCACGACAAGTTCCAAATGAAACACAAAACATACCTGCATATGAATCGGACGCAGAGCTTTCACTCCTATCAAACACAATTGGAGAAATGTCTCTAGATCGCTTTTTCTTCTCCTTTTTATGTTTCTCATCGTCTGAAGAAAATTTAATTTGGAACAATTCCATTTAATTATTCTTTAAGAATCATTCGAGACTGCAGTATGAATGATAGGGGTTGAAAATTCCACTGACATTAGGTCTGGGACGTGTTCATTATGTCAGGTCAATTGTCAATAGACCAGTAGAAAGGTATAAGACAAATTAAACAGCAGTGTTGTAATGACCAATATTTGTCACTATAGGCAATTAGAGCACTTACACAGCATGCTGGCAGCTTTCAGTGGATGGAATGAAATACAGTTGAATCCTGATAAATAAACTTTAGTTGGTTTGAAGCAAAATTACTTGATAAAAGCAAGTTTAAAACAGAATGTGCAAATCTTTAGAAAACCATCAATTTAAATCTTTCATTCAGCAGTTCAATCTAAAACAAAAACAAACTACTTAACAAAAAGTTTAGACAATAACTAATCTTTTCTTTTATATTGTCCCAATACAGCACCAAAAGTGTCAATAGCACTGCAAACGGGTATCCGTGGCTCAACTATCATCTTGAATGAAAGTAAAATGTTAAGGCAGAACTTTGCCCATATGCACCCAAACATATTGGCTTCTAACTCACGTCAATTATTCCAACAGAAATGTTAGCTTCTTTCAATAAGTGTAAATAAAAAGGAAGCTCACTGCACCCACTTTTTTTTTTAAAAAAGCTGAAAAGTGGTTTTCTCTCATGTGCTTCAAAGGCTCCCCCAGTGAGAAGTGTTTGGTAACAGATTGTGGGAAGAAAGGCTGAAAGCCCGACCATTAATGGTGGAGCGGGCAGAGCGGGGGACGTGGAGCTGGCCAGTGGCTGCTGAGCAGAGGGAGCGGACACGCTGGTAAACTATTAGGGTAATATATTAAGGAGAGATTGTTAAAGTAGGAGAAAGGGAAAACTGGATTTTACATAACCACTATTATGAAGTGAAAAGATAGTTAAAGATCTTCTTAAAGATTATAATTTTATAGAATACAAGACCACACTAGAGGTTTGATGACTTTTTGCACTGGCATAAAGGTACAGCATAAGGGCCGGAGTACAAATTAAAACTCGGAATTTGGCAGCAGATTAACCTGATTTAGTGTGGTAACGTTTTTTTAAACATAGACAACATATTACATGTTTGGAAAAAGACTTTGCACTCGTATTTTCCTTGAATCAGAAATTATGCAACAGAGGAACAAATGGGAAATGGTTTGGCACATGGGAATTCTATTCTTTGATCAGGAATAAATTTATCTGAAGTCAACTGTACTGTAAAAGTACATTAACAGGGCCTGAATGCTGGACCAGCAGTTAAGATTTCGATTTTGATCAGGTGGCCAAAGATACCACCCAGATCTCCTTGACAGTTATAATAATTAGGAAATCAAGACACTTTAAACTTCAGTGGTGAGTGCAGTCCCATTGATCACATTAGCCACCATTTAATTGGATGCAGTGGCAACCTCATCAAAAACAAGAAGCCAAGTCACAACTGAGCCTACTATTAGGGCCAAAAAATTTTCAACCCCCTTCAATCATTCATTATTTTGATATACATTCTTATCTTCTCCCCAACACAGAAAAGGTTACAGTACTGGATATTTATCACTCAGAAATATCCTTCTGCTAATGTGACCAACATCGTTCCGAATCACAAAACAAATATAATTAAAGACTATTTAGAAAAACGTTAGATTTAAAGAAAAGTAGCTGAGATAAACACAAAGCACTTATGATGATTTTAACTCAATGGATACACAGATGGATCAATGGTCTCAATCTGCTTTTGTACCACCAGAAGCATTTCTAAAAATATCTTGTCCCTCAGCATAAACCAAATTTTCCTTCAGTGATAATGGAGAAAATTGTGAGATAAGAATTTAGGTAACTAGAGAAATAGTCATTAGAAAATCACTGATGTACAATCAAACCTGCTCATAACAGCCAATTGTGGGTGTCTCAATATAACTTTAAATATTGTCAAAACTGTCACTAGATGGTCAATATAGATTATTTTAATGTAAGATTCACTTTAAAGGTCTGAAATTGGAAGCAGATTTAAACTTCTCTTAAATATGTGGATAACCCATTTACCAGTACAATGGCTAGAAAAGGGATTACACATTGGATTTTACAATGGCTAGAAAAGGGATTACACACTGGATTGTACTCAAAAACAAAACTTTTGTTCGATTAGTTACGATGCGCAGGCTGATTAGGTCTAATTTAATTTGTTCTGCAGACTGTAGGTTCTGTAATATTAGGTTCAACACTATCTAATGCAGTCAGCTTTCAAAACTTAGTTATATACAAACAAGTAAGTACCTGATGTACTGAGGATCAACATTACAAATTTAATCCAAATGTTTATACATGCTTCAAAAACAGAAATATACCTGATACATCAGATCCAGATCTGGTAGCAGATTCTCCATCAGAAAACGAGACAGACTCCGAGTCCGAATCACTTGCTTCACTCCGTGTATCATAATCTTGCTCGTGGCCTTCCTCTTTACTTTCTCTTGGATCTCTCTCTCTGAATTCATCTTGCTCAGCTATACACTGGTCATATTCCTCCTCTTCTACGTCTACCTCTTCCTCCTCCAACTCCAGTTCCTCCTTCTCTCTGTCAACATCTTCATCATCCTCTCCAAGTTTTACCTCCTCATCCATTGCTTCCTCTAGATTTTCCAAGTCTTCAGATGAAGTGGCACTACCTGTCTCAACATCGGGTTCAGACTGATAACCATCAGAATGAACCTCATCTTTGGAAGAATGGCTTGACCTACGCACTTTCAGACTCTCATCACTGTTTCTTAAAGTCTTCTGCCATTAAAAAGAAAACGTTTTGTAAAATAAAAACAGATTTTTAAATAAACAGTATTATCATAGTATTATCATTGGGTTACATTTGGTACAGAAAAATATTTAATCTACAATATCAAGGCACGTTTTCTGTATCGCACCAACAATTCCTCATTTAAAAAATGATCAACATTGTGAACCCTGAAGTAATTCAGATAACTGATTACAAGAGTAGAGAAGTTCAAGACAAAAAATTATGTCTGTGTAAAAGGAGCAAAGACCGAAGCTCTACACCAACAATAACAAGTTCTAATAGTGGGTAACTTGTGCAGAATTAGCAGATGCACATTATGGAAGACTCAATACATGAGAATCAGGTTAACACTAAAAGGTTTTGCTGGAAAAGTTACTGAAATACAACTTGCCATGCTGTAAACCTCAGACTCATTTTGAGTTGTTGATTTGGATTTCCTATCACACTCTCCTCGCCTGCTTCCCATTTTGTCCGTTCGATCTTTCTGTGACTCTCGGGAACTCCCGCCTTGGGTATGATTCTTTCGGTCACTACTCATTTTGTTTCGTTCGTATCGTTGATATTCTTCCTTCTTATAGGCTGATGATACATGTCTGCCTTTTGAACTGGAAGCCTTTGCGTTATCACCTCCAGAAGAACAGGAAGACCTCTTGCTGACTTGCCTTGAATGGCTTGAAGATTTCTGCCGTTTCCCATCACCAACGTCTGGTCTCTCTTTTTCATTTTTTCTTTTTGATGCTGTTGAGTAAAGAAGTCAGCATTTAATGAAGTAACTCACAAAAAGGTGAAAGGTTCAAATGACTGGCAAAATTATTTCACTCAAGTGAAATAACTGGCTCAGACGATAATTAGTATGAACTCTCATATGACTCACAAGAATAAATCGAAGCAATAGTGTCAATATGCAAAACAATGCAATTTACTTTTCTTCTCACTGCCCTTGTATGTCGTTGGTAGGTTTTGTGTTAAAACACAATTTTTTAAATTAATTCAGATCATCATCAACACCTCTCTAAACTCAATTTCTCCAATGCTTGATCCTCCACAAGCTACAGATTATCCAGAACCAAGCTCTGGGAGCCCATTACCACCAACCTCACCCAGTTCACCTGGCTCCCTAGCCCCAACAGACCAACTTTTAACATCTTTGACCACAATCTCAGATGACTTCACAGCCTTTCTTTGCTACTTTGCTACTCCTTGACTTTACAAAGAGACGTTCTCTAATGTGAAAGCCACTACTATGTAAGTGCATATTGTTATTATAATTATAAATTCTCTTTTAAGAGTGGTCTCCCTACAGTTGAACTGACTTTGAATAGACACTCCGACTGCACCATGGTCGACACTAATCAAAGGCAGACTTGCAAAACCCTAAAGCTAATGGCATTGCTTTCCAGAGTTGGATGAATGGCATTACTGTATTTTCACCAATAAAATAAAAAGTCAATTCACTTTACAGTATATTCGGTGAAGAAGCGCTTTGAGACATCTTGAAGAAATGATAAGGCGCTATATCAAATGCAAAGATTATTATTATTAATTATCCTTCAAGTGAAGAAATACTTCCTGGTTGTCTGTCCTGAAATTGCCTTTTATAACCTTAAACCTGTGTCCTCTTGTTCTGCTGCCTTGGTGTATCTGGAAGTAACTTCACTCATCTTGAAGTTTAGTAAGTAGAATATAGAACATTATAGCACAGAAGGAGGCCATTCAGCCCATCGTGCCTGGTCCGGGTCTTTGGAAGAGCCACCCAATCAGTCCCACTCCCCCGCTCTTTCCCCATACCCTTGCAAATTTTTCCGTTTCAACAATTTTTTTTAAAAGTCGGTAGAATCTACACAAGAAGAAGAGCTACCACAGAACTCCAATTATAGTGCAGTAGCTGGGCCCATAAAATCTCAATGCAATTTATAACCACAACAAAATTACATTTGTATAGCGCCTTTCATGTTGGGATATGATCACTGGCAAGAAGGACCCTTGAGTTCATTGACATGTATGTGGAAAGCTGGCCAGTTTCCCACGCTGAACAATGTTGGAGCCATGAAGTCACCAAAGTCACTTCCTGAATATTACACGTGTGTACCAATACAGAAAAAAGTCAAGTCTCGTTTTAGCGTGCTGGAAGCCAAATTACCCAAGCCCTGAGACATCGGGTTATGATTTAGGGAAAAAGGTCACAGCTAAAATAATCCTGGCATTTGATATAGCGCCTTATCACGCCTTCGAGACATCTCAAAGCGTCCCAAAACATAGACTTACCTTTCTTCTCAATGACGTCTTGTCCACTCTCGGGGTTATAAAGCTCATCATCCTGATCAGGTGCTTCCGTCAAGATGTCATCCAAAACATTAACTTCACCATCTAAAAGACAAGACAATTAACCATCACACTATTAAAATGTTGTTTTCTCAAAAGCCTATTCCTTAAATATAATTTATAAATGTTGCAATTAAAGGTCAGATTCTACATTTTTAAAATGCACTGTGTTATATTTCTGAATAAAGAGATTAGATAGGCAAGTTTGTTGTGCCATTTTTTTTCTGCAGATGGATTGTGAACTACCCAAATTAGAAAGGTATAGTATGTTAGTGGCAAAACTGCTCCTGTCTCATTGTACTCCTGTGGCTAAAAGAGTTTGGTGCCCATTACATCACAATATTTGCAAGGCACATCATAATCCATAAATCTGAAAAAAACGGACCATTTGTTGAAATGCAAATATTTTTCATGTCATTGTACGATGGACCAATTTGCTGAGCTTTTTCCAGGGCACATTTTGTATATAGAAAAAAATCTGGATTTATGTGGCCCGATTGCAAACCTGAACTTCAAAAACATGTGCACAAATATCTGCAATATTGATTTAATATCTGCAATATTAAATCAACTCAGAATCCCAAGGTAGTGTGGAATTTGGTACGAAACATGAATTCTGGTAGTGAATAAAACTAAATTTTTGCACCAATTCATTTTACAGAAACACTATTGAGCACTTTACTTCTGGGTCTCAACCACATAATTTATACTAATTCAGAATATTGAGGTCAAGTCTCTTTTGTGATGCGTGGCTACACCATACCCTGTTGGGGTATAGATACCCTGTTGGGGCACAGAATACCCAACGCAGCTGAAACCCTTATCTGCACATTAGTCACCTCCTGCCTTGATTATTCCAAAGCCCTCCTCACCAGTCTTCCCAAGTCTTCCTAATTTAAAATTACGCCACCCAGATCCTCACCTGCCCAAACTCAGAACCCAAATCTGTGCCAGGCTCCAATGGCTCTCTATCATAGAACGATCAACTTCAAGATCCTCACACTTGTTTATAATTTCCCGTCACATCCTGGCATCTCCCTACCTCCCCAAACTGCTTACTTCCTACTCCACTAACTGCTGCATCCGCTCAGCTGGCTCAGGTCTCCTGCACCTGCCTTACCCCCTCCGTTCCACCATCATAGCGGATGTGACTTTAGCCACTACGCCCTGAAACTCTCTTCCTCAATCCCTCCACCTTGCTTCCTCCTTCCCCATTTTCAGATCACACCTGAAGACCGTTCTCTTCGACCATATCTACAGTCACCTCCCCCTCTTTTCGGCTTGGTATCAAACTCCAAAACGCTACCCCACATGAAGGGTATCACAGAATCGTACAGCACAAAAAGAGGCCATTTGGCCCATCGAGTCTGTGCCGGCTCTTTCAAAAGAGCAACGTAATGTCAATCCCACTCCCCAGCCCTTTCCCCATAACTCTGCAAACCCGTCCTCCTCAAATACCTGTTCACCGCGGTACTATGTAAATGCAAGTTGATGTTTGTTGTAGTTATGGAAGCTTTACTCAGAAAAGTATAAACATCACCTCTCCCATGCTTTGAAATAAAGACACTGATCACATAATATGGAACGTACCCTTGTTTATTTATAAAACGTAAAATATTATCTTACTTTCCCCTTCCTCCCTAGATGCATTTTTAAGCATAATATCCATCCGTCTCATCCGAAGGACAGTACCTCTAACAATGTAAGAAAACTGAAAAATATGAGCATATTTGTGGATGCGAATCTATTTGTTGGTTGCCAGTGAACACTTGCGTGGTCAACACTTGCAGTTCAAGGTTAGGACTAGTGGGTCTGCACATTGAAGTACAGACATACACAGAATCCAACAAGCTAGAGTGGCCTCAGCCTCGAATGGTTCAAACCCATAACACTAAAGACTAACAGAAATTAATTTGGATTTGTATGGCTGTAGCTTCCAATCTTCCTTAACACAAAGTGTTTGGCAATTTTTTATATGCAGGTCTTTATGAACTAAATCAACTAGTTTACAATAGTTAAGTTTGCAAACATCAATCAGGCATGTACCATTTATAAATGTTTGAAGTCAACAATATATGCCCATCCAGCCGATGTCAGTTCATACAATATATTCAAATCAACAGCTCAATTAACAAGTCTCTATGTCAACAAGTCAGATTATTATTTTCATATAAAACACACATGGATAAACTATGGATTTTACCTGGACAATTCTGGTGCATGTCTAGATGAAACACGTCTGCACACTTCCCTCCAGTCAGAAAAATAACCATTCACCACCACTCTCTGCTTTCTGTCTCCCAGCCGGTTGTTCATCCAGGCTGCCATTGTCCCTTTAATTCCGTGGGCTTCTATTTTGCTTACAAGTCTCTTATGTGGCACTTTTACTATGTGGCACTATTATTATTATTTATCAAACGCCTTTTGAAAATCCATATAAACTATATCAACTCCACCACATTCATCCACCCTCTCCATTACTTCATCAAAAAACTCTATCAGGTTTGTTAGACATGATTTGCCTTTAACAAATCCATGTTGGCTGTTCTTTATTAACCCATATTTTTCTAAGTGAAAATTTATTTTGTCCCAGATGTTAGTCTCCAGAAGTTTCCCCACTACTGACCTTAGGCTGACTGGCCTGTAGTTCCTGGGTTTATCCTTCTGCCTCTTTTTGTAGGGGAGTAACATTTGCAACCCTCCAATCCTCTGGAGGATATTATGTCTCCAATCTGTATTTTGGATCGCGTAATAAGATATTATGTCTCCAATCCAATCTCCAATCCGTTGTCCAAGGAGGATTGAAAGATTGTCGTCAGAGCCTCCTTTATTTCCACCCTTATTTCCCTCAGTAACCTAGGATGCATCCCGTCTGGACCGGGTGACTTATCTACCTTGAGCACTGACAACCTTTTTAGTACCTCCTCTCGTTTTTTTCTCATCTTATCCAATCCAAAGACAGATGCAAAGTACTCATTCAGTCCGTCAGCCATGCCCTCTGCCTCCACAAGAAGATTTCCTCTTTGGTCACTGATTGGACCCACTCTACCTTTGACTAACCTTTTATTCTTTATGTATTTATAAAATACCTTAGAGTTTCCTTTTATGTTACCCGCTAATCTTTTCTCATAAACTAGAATATATTAGAATATACAGCACAGAAACAGGCCATTTGGCCCAAGTGGTCTATGATGATTGATGCTCCACATGAGCCTCCTCCTGCCCTTCCTCAACTAAGCCTTCAAGCACAACCTTCTATTCCTTTTTGCTCCTTAACTCTAACCAAATCAATTCTGTTTTTAGACCCTCTAGCACATTGTCCCTTTCCTAAAGAAAGTCTGTCTATTGAGCGCCTTGGGACGTCTTCCCAAGGTGCTATACAAATGTAATTTTGTTGTTGTTGTTGTAAACTCTTCCTCACAGCACTAGTTAACCTCTCTGCAAGGACATCGGTCCCAGCCTATTCAGGTGTAACCCATCTACCAGGTCCCACCTGCCCCTGAACTGGTACCAACACTCCAGGAACCTGAAGCCCTCCTTTCTGCACAATTTCTCCAGCCATGCATTCATGTGTTTGATCCTGCTGTTTTGATACTCACTTGCACGAGGCACTGGGAGTAATCCATCTTTGAGGTCCTATTCTTTAGCTTTTTCCCTAGCTTCTGATACTCTCCCTGTAGGATCTCAGCCCTTTTCTCCCCTACATCAGGGATCCCAACATGGACCATGATTTCTGGATATTCTTTCCCAGTAGAACGTTTTGCTCCCGATTGTTTTCAACCCCGGCACAAGGGAGGAACGAGAGTGACATCTTTGGTTGCACAAACGCCTGTCTGCTCCTTTCACCCTGTGTCCCCTTGTGCACCCATTTGCTTTTGATTACCCTCCGCAGAGGGGCACCACCCTGACTGGCATTCAGTGCAGAGACCCGATTTGTGAGTGCCACACTCAGGGGATTCCTGCACTCCCCATCCTTTCTTCCTACCATGCCAGATGGTCACCCACTCACTCTCGTTCTGAACCCTCTGTGGCTGTAGGGTGACTACCTCCTGAAATGTTCAATCCATGAACTCTTCAGCCTCCCATATGCTATGTAGTGACACCAGCCTCTCCTCAAGCTCAGAAACTCTGATCAAGCTCGAGCAGCCGGAGGCACTTCCGACACACGTGTCTGTCCAGGGCACACAGAGCATCCTGGAGTTCCCATATGGTACACATTGTGCATGCTGCTGCCATATTCCCAGACTTGTTTTCTATTATTTTAATATAACTTATATATTTTATAATTATGCACCTCATGCCTCCTCTGCACCAAATTCCCACTCTCACCAAATTCCTTAACAGAATTCTCATTCTGTTCCACCTCACTCAGTTCCCTCCTCACACTGCTGTGCTCCGATCATTTTATGCTTGGATATAATTACTTAAGCAACCAGAATTGTAAGTAATTAGAAAATTGTTAGCTCTATACATTAAACAAATGATTTTACTTAATATACACATAAGTGATTTATAGTCAAAACAGAAACAGCATTAAAACCCAACATTCCCAAAGGACCATTGGCTCCAGAGTCTCACTCCACCCTACATCTGCAATCTCCTTCAATTTAACTGGCCACTTAGCGAGTACCGGCCTCACGTCCCCTCCTCAATCCATCCCACCATTGGCTGGCAGGTTTCAGCAATATTTGCCAATTAAGCAGAGAAAATAAAATGAATCACTACTAGAGCTAATGTCTACCCAATCCAGGTTGTAGAGATGGAGTTACATGAAATAACCAAATTGACATCACCTCCAGCAGATCCAAACCTGAAGACTGTAATCAAAAATTTCTTCCAAGTTTTTTTAAAAAAATTATATCCTAGAAGTCCATAAAAAGTTTAGTTGCTTAAATTTGTCTTTGAACTGCCTTAATGAACTTGCACTTATCCCATCCACCCTGGGTTTCAGATGAGAATGTCACAAAAAANCATTAAAGGTCTCACATAACGCAGCATTAAGCCATTATTCCAGTTTCACCAGACCTGTGCTGATAGTTGAAATCAGCCAGGACAGAGTTGGGTCGCATATAGGCCTTTGGGTCCTCGAGTTGCGGAAAGGAAAAAACAAAGAGGTTCAGATAAAGAAGGCTTTTGGACCAATTTGATTTAACTCTTACAGAATACCCAGTCTGTTATTATTTATATTAAAGCATTGAGCCTGCTTAAAAGACTCCAGTGGACTGGTCTCAACCACACTTCCTGCTTAGCCTTTCCAGATATTAATTACCATCAATGTAAAGAAATATTTCCTGCAATCTGTCCTCAAATTACCTTTCACAACATTCAATCTGTGTTTTCTTTAGTTCAGCCAAGTATCTGAAAATCCTCCATGTTTAATCTCCAAAAACAGTATACTGAATGAATGCATAACCATTTTTTACCTGGGATAGATGTTGACCAAGACGCTATAGAAATTCACAGCACAGATTGAGCTCAAAGTTCCAACATGGTGTTTGAACCCAGAACCTTTTAACTCAGAGGCAAGAGTGCTAACAACTGAGCCAATATGACACTGGTTTCCATTCGCTTGGAATACAATACGCACAATCCTTATCGAACTCTAGAGGGTGTTAGGCACAGGATGGGGGAATCCCAGAATGTGTGTTGTGACTCTACTGGAGCTTAAAAAGCTAAAACTGCAACCTACCATTGTGAACAAATGTATCAAGCTTCCCACTGCTTATCCAACTAGGGAAATGCCAAATAACCCATCAGGGATTTGGGTTGCAGGGCTAATTTTGGGGGGGTCTGCCAAGCATCTGACAGATGCAGAAACACATCACCACACACACCATTTGGAAATACAGAGTTCCAAAGATGTGAAGACTTTCCTCTTTGATCATGCTTCCCGCCACCCTCCCCCCTAATCAATCAATGACTGTTTGTGGGACACTTCTGTGCTCAATTGGCTGCCGCGTTTCATCCACAAAATACGGTCAATTCACTTTGTGATATATTCTGTGAAGCCTTTTGAGATGTCGCAACAACATGATATATGAACTATATGAACTGCAGGGAAAATTATGATTATATTATTATTATTATTACCTCTGTCCCAAGGAGCCGTCACTTCTGGTTTACTCCCCTGCCCACCCCGGGGCTCTAATAATAATAATCCTGGCATTTAATAAAGCGCCTCATCACGTCTTTGAGATGTCTCAAAGCGCTTCACAGTATTGACTGTAAAGTGAATTGCCTGTGTATTGTAGGCAAAATATAAACCGGGGTCAGGGTTTATGTCCCTGATGACAGACAGACAGACAGACAGACAGACAGAGACCAAGCCCCCCACCCCGGCTCCCCCCTCTGGCCCTGTGTCTCTGTCTGTGCCTCACAGGGGGGAGGAGTTTGACACTGAGCGGCCCAGGCCCTGACCTAGGCCTAGACACAGTGTCAGGCGGACTCTGGTCTCGGAGCCGGAGAGGTGAGCAAGACCCGGGGCGGGGGGGAGGCACAATGACTGGCCGGCCGGGTGGCGGGTGACCGGGTGGGTGGTGTGACGGTCGCTCTCACCTTTCTCCTCGCGGTTCTCCGCCATCCCTCTGACTCGCCGCACACTCTGCTCCAGCAAAATGGCGCCGCCCGCGATCCCACAGGCCTTCCCGCCCGTCGCGCGTCACAATGCGGACCCGTCGCGACGTCACAATGGGCGGTGGCGGCCACGTACGTCACAATGGGCCTGCCCCCCCTCAACCCCACCTCCCCGGTGTTTGCTGGTCACGTGGTGGCTCTGACGTGGTGTGTGTGTGGAGCGTTCCATCCTCTCCGTCCACACAGCGCTCACTCAACACATTCACACACATACTTCAGAATTTTGTAAACCAAATCAGGGGACATATACTTAAAAAAAGGGAACTCACCACTGTTCCTGGTTCTGGCAGTACTGGAGCAGCTTGTTTCACTGATGAGTGTATGTGTTTCAGAATGTTATAGTCCTTGCATTTGATATAACGCTTCTCATGTCTTCGAGACGTCTCAAAGCACTTCACAGAATAGACTGTAAAGTGAGTTGACTGTGTATTTGTGGGCGAAACACAGCAGCCAATTGCGCACAGCAATGTCCCCACAAACAGTCGTGGATTGAAATGACCAATTTATTGTGTGTTTTGTCTTGAGGGATTGTTATCAGTCATGTGGAGTAAGGAAACTTGCCCAAGGTTTGGCCCTGCCGGGAATTGAACACAGGTCTCTCATTTGCAAAGCCACTGAGCTACAGGACTCCACCCCTTATACAATCACAATACATACGCCACTCGTTTGTGCACACATTCACACATTTACTCACACATTTACACATACACATTCATGGATACATACTAAAATACACTCATTTCATGCATACTGATACATTCACTCTCATATACACTTGAATATATATATGTACTCATTCACACACACACATGCATACAATACATAAATCTATACTCACTCACATACATGGATAATACGATTGAACTTGACATTAGGTTTGAGAGGGAGAAGGGAAAGTCCCAAACCAAGGTTTTAAATTTAAGTAAGGCAAACTTCGATGGGTTGAGAAATAAATTGGCCACAGTAAACTGGGCTGAACTGTTAGTGGGTAAACCTACAAATAAACAATGGGAAATATTCAAAAAAGTACAATACAATAGAATACAATACAGAACAAGTACATAACCCTAAAATGCAAAAGCTCCAACTGTGTAGTGAAGCAACCATGGTTGACAAAAGAGGTTAGAGACTGTATCAAGCTAAAAGAAAAGGCTTACTCAAATGCAAGAAAAAGTGGGAATGCAGACAACTGGAAGAACTACACAAGGCAACAAAGAGATCCAAAGAAAGTACTAAGAGGAGCAAAAAGGAAATACGAAAAAAACTTGCAAGGGATATTAAAACCAATCGAAAAAGTTTTTACAAATATATTAAGAGAAAGAGTTGTCAAGGGGAATATGGGCCTGTTAAAGATAGATATAGGTGAGACTATAATGGAAAATAAGTAAATGGCTGACGTTAAATAAATACTTTGCTAACGTTTTAACAGTAGAGGATGAATACAAAACACCAGCTGTACAGGGGAACCTAAAAATAAGTCAAAGTGAAATACTTAGACTTATTAATGTAAATAAAAAAATGGTAATGGGGAAAATAATGAGACTCAAGATAGACAAATCTCCAGGAACTGATAGTTTCTACCCCAGGGGGTTAAAGGAAATAGGAGAGGAAATTGCAGATGCATTCGTCATCATTTTCCAAAGCTCACTAGATTTGGGAATTGTGCCCTAAGATTGGAAAATTGTGAATGTCACCCTTTTATTTAAGAAGGGAGGCAGGCAGAAACCAGGAAACTACAGACTTGTCAGCTTAAGGTCACTTGTAGGAAAAATACTGGAATCCATCATCAGGGACAGAGTGACTGAACACTTGGACAGGTATGAACTAGTCAAAGAGAGTTAACATAGGTTTGTGAAGGGTAGGTCGTGTCTGACTAATCCAGTTGAATTTTTTGAGGAAGTCACTAAAATGGTTGGCCTTTATCTCAAGGGGCCTGAATACAAAGGGGAAGAAATGCTGCTTCAGCTGTATAGATCGTTGGTCAGACCCCATCTGAAGTACTGCATTCAGTTTTGGGCACCGCACCTGTTTCCAGGCCTTAAAGTGTTAAGTTTAAGGCATGTCCCTACCTCTCCGAACGCCACACTCCGCAATCCACCACCGGGCGCCTCCACTAAACTGGCATCGGCCTCCTGCTTGTCCCTCGCACCCTCCGCCCCACCATTGGAGGTCGCGCTTTCAGCCACTACGCCCCAAAACTCTGGAACACTCTCAATCCCTCCGTCATTGTCCCCTTTTTCTCTTTTTTCAAGTCCCACCTGAAAACCTTTCTTTTTGACCGTGCTTACGGTCACCTTCCACCCCACCCCTGGCTTGGAGTCAGGCTCCGCCGCTGTTAAACACTCTGAGACACTGTGTGGAGGGCGCTATATAAGTGCAAGTTGTTGTTGTTGTAAGTTATGAGGAAAGGCTGCATAAACTTGGATTGTATTCCCTGGGTTTAGAAGGTTGAGGGGTGATTTAATTGAGGTATTTAAAGTGATTTGATAGGGTAGATACAAGAAGCTATTTCCTCTGGTGGGAGAATCCAAAACAAAGGGCATAGTCTTCAAATTAAAACCAGGCCATTTAAGAGTGAAATCAGGAAGCATTTTTTCACTTAAAGGGGGTGGTGGGGTAGAAATCTGGAACTCTCTCCACAAAAGGCTGTGGATACTGGATCTATCCACACCTTCAAAAGTGAAGTTGATAGATTTTTGGTAGATCAGGGTATCAAGGGATATGGGGAAAGAGTGAGAAATTGGAATTGACAGGATTAGTTGAGGTACAGATCAGCCATGATCTAATCTAATTGAATGGCGGAAGAGGCTCAAAGGGCTGAATGGCCTACTCTTGTTCGTACATTCACATGCACTCATTCACCCACACCCAAACAAATACCCATGTACACTCACCCACAATTCGCACATATATACATTTAAGTACACAAAAGTACACAAGAAAAAACTTGCAAATCATTCTTGCTCTACTTCTCCTTTTCAAACAATTGCTCGATCCTGTTCCTTCCACAATGAAACATGTCACTATGACCGAAGAAGGTTTTGGTTAGTGCTGTACTGAGTCCATTCATATTTCTTGCAATATAATAATAATCTTTGCATTTCATACCATGCCTTTTCATGGTGTCCAGCCATCTCAAAGAGCTTCACAGTATATAAAGTAAAGTAATTGTTTATTTTTGGGGGAAATGTGAGTCAAATGTGAGACTGATTCACTTCCATTGAACACCACAATGACATTTCATTCTGGAACGAAAACGCAAAGGAGCTATTGTAAGGGTTAATTTGTTTTCATGACCCTGCGTGAAGTAAGGACTGACACAAATGTTGTACATTTAATCAAGGTTTATTAATTCAGATTAATAATGGTTATAAGTAATTAAAAAATACATTCAATTATGCTTACATATCCACGTCTACTGTTCACAACAATTGAAGTTGACCAAACCAAATGCTACGGGAGAGGTAGAGGAGCAATGTCCAATTTAATGTTCCATTTTAATCCAAATATAAGTCCTCAAAAGGTATCCAAGTATTGTTGTACGGTTCCCAGTTTGATATCGCCCAAAACTATCCAGGTATTATTGTGCGTTTAGTGTTGTCCTAGTCTTGATTTTTTTTTATAAGCTGGAATATGGTTTGTGACTCCAAGTTCCAATTTCTTCCCTTCTCTCCTTCTCTTTTGAATTGATCTCTGTTTATACAGTTCGTTAGGTGACCTTTCACCGATCATCTTTTGCAGAATGGTTCCTTTGTAAAAACAAATGCAACATAGCTCTCTTAAACTGCAGACCATTTTTCCATCAGAAAATGATTGATGAGGAATAAAAACAGTGTTGTTTATAAACAGTCTTTTGTTTCTCCTCCTTCAGCAAGGATCTTCTTCGAAGCTAGTCACAACCAGCTCTCCTCATATGAGATTCATCATATGTCTCAAATATATAAACATCTCAAATATAATTTGAGATATTATTTAACACATTAACTACAGAAATCTACAGTCCGCCCTGAAGTGAGTTAAGGTTACAAATGTAAACCCACTTTTATTACTGTAATTAATGTAAAATTGGTACCATTCCCCTCTATCTCTTCCACTACATTCAATCTCCAATCTATTTTAACATTTTTATGATTCTTTAATCGTTCATAAAAAATTCCACATTTTTTTCCATCATAAAAATCCATCAATTGTAGTAAATCATTATTAATAATGATAAAAATAAAGTAACAAGGTTATACTTAAATTGTATGACCACAAAAAATAAAATATTACTTTAGTGGGTGTTCCTTTTTTTATGGGCACACTACTTTTCTTTCAAAATATCATCTTCCAAAATTCCCAATCAATGTATCCATGTTTAATTTGTATAAACATCACTTTGATTAAATACTGGAATGTATAAAATAAATGATACATGAAATAAAATCAGAATAAATCCAGTAATATTAAGATAACAACAACAACTACAACAAAATTATATTTGTATAGCGCCTTTCACGTCAGGAGGACATCCCAAGGTGCTGGAAAGACAGAGTTATGGACCCGAGCTTGGGGTCGGGGTCAGGGAGGATGGAGGACAGGAGGGGAAGCAGGGAAATCAAAAGCACGGTCGAAGAGGAGGGTCTTGAGATGGATCTTGAAGGTGGCAAGGGAGGGGGCAAGGTGGAGGGACAGCGAGATGGAGTTCCAGAGGGTGAGTGCAGAGTAGCAGAAAGCCTAACCACCATTAGTGGGGTGAGCGAAGCAGGGGACGTGAAGCAGGCCACAGCCCGCTGAGCGGAGGTAGCGACAGGATGGTAGCGGTTAGGAGGTCACAGAGGTAGGGGGGAGCAAGACCATGGAGGGTTTTGAAGGTGAGGACCAGGATCTTGAACTGTATCCTCTGTGTGATGGGAAGCCAGTGGAGTTGGGCGAGGATGGGGGCGATAGGGTCGCAGAGCTTAGTGCGGGAGAGGACACGGGCTGCAGAGTTCTGGATGATCTGCAGCCTGTGGAGGGAGGAGTTGGGGAGGCCGATAAGCAAGGAGTTTGCATAGTTGAGCCTCGATGT